GAGGGAGAGAAGAAGGAAATTGGAGAGGGGGGAGAAGAAGGAGAGGAGGGGAGAAGAAGGAAATTGGAGAGGGGGGAGAAGAAGGAGAGGAGGGGAGAAGAAGGAAATTGGAGAGGGGAGAAGGAAATTGACGGGGGGAGGGGGAGAGATTGACATGCATCACACACACACACAATGCACCCCTTGCACACAGAAAAACAAACAATGCATTACACCCAGACACACATACACAAGCAATGCATCCCTTACACACAGCAATACACAATGCACCCCTTACACACACTCAATGCATCCCATACATACACAAACTCACCTTGCAGCCCTTACACATACAAACACAGATTCACACAATGCATTCCTTACACACATCAGGACATCCCCCCACACACACTCCACCCCCTGTGAACAAACTCATTGGTGGAACATGAAGGTGGATCCTGGGACCCAGACATTGAGCTGTGTAAAGGGCCCTCAAAAAAACGGAGCTGCTTCCAGTTGATCCCAGAACATTGATTTTTGTGACCACAGTTACAAACCGCCTCCAGAGAGCCTGTTCTACATCAGACCAGTGGAGCCAGACGGGAGCTAGAGCCCATCATCATCCTCATCTGGTTGTAAGTAGGCAATCTAGTATATTATTTGTGGCACTAATCTCTAATTTACCTCACATTAAAGGGACACTATAGTCCCCAGAACCACTGCAGCTTAATGTAGTGGTTCTGGTGTCTAGCCTGTCCCTGCAGGCCTTTTAATGTAAACACGGCGGCACTGCAGCATTGGTGTTAGTTAACATGGCAGATCATATGGGTGGGGCATTGTGATGTCACATGGGGGGGCGGCAAACTTTACTTTTGCCTAGGGCGGCAAAAATCCTTGCACTGGCCCTGCAGACACTGCATTCCTGTGGGCGGACTCGGGGTGTGGGGGCTGCAGCACTTTGGGCGGACTCGGGTGCAGGCACCGGGGGGCCCAGACCTTGAGCTGTGTCAGGGGCCACACAATTTCTGATGGCAGCCCTGGGTAAACACACAATATCGGTCTCCTTCAGGCAGACATTGTGCCATGCATTCTAGTGTGAGACTTTTACCAATATACTTGGAATGTATTATTTTGTTAACAGGTTCACAGGTAAAATCTAAAGTATAAATTATCACAATACAACCAAGTAGGATATTATGAAGTTTAAAGAAGTAAACTTTTTCAAACTGTTACATTGTATATATATATATATATATATATATATATATATATATATATATATATATATATTTTTTTTTTTTTTTTCCCATTTAGTGTTCGGTTGCATGAAGAGCATGATTGTGAAACACCAACAATGGGTATATGCCAACTATTATTTTCTTGTTACCGATAGTGGCATGAAATCTTGTATTTGAAAATCTTCAACGTTAGGTAATATATTGTGAAACAAATGAGTGAATAGTGCTTATTTTCCAACAGTATGGGGATATATTTGTGAAGTCTAATTAAAACCAGAAAAAAAAACAAAACAAAAAAAAACAAGGTTTCATAGAGCGCCATTAATTTGACGTGCTATTTATGTCATGTGTCCAGTAGTTATAAGCCTAGATTACAGTGTTCAACCAGACAATTGCAGGAAGTACATTAAATTTTCATCTGCATTCCCAGTTTTAAAATCAATATGTGCATCATTCTAATCACTTCACTGAGAGCTACGTCTATAACTGGAAACTTACATCATTTTTGTTCTGCTTTAGCGAATTGTCTAAATAAATCTAAAAATATTGTTTAAAGGAACACTAAGCTCCATAACCAATGCAGTGTGATGTAGTTGTTATGGTGTCTTGAGTGACCTGGTGCACCCTCATTGTAAGTAGTCAAACTGCTAGAGAAAGGCTGGACTTCTTAACCAAGAGCCACGGAAATTAAAATCCGAAGGCAAGGTTACTGTCCTTGCAGGTTAGGCAGAGTTTACATTGTTGCCTAATACCATATCTAGTGACTCTCACTCAGACAGCCACTAGAAGACCTTTCTGGTTGTGGTCCTGCAATCTTTGCAATCTTTGCAGGACCAACATTCATTGCCTCCATACTCTGGATAGAAACACTGAATGCTCTCCATAGTGTTGCATTAAGTCAATTAGTCTCTATAAGGAGATGATGACTGACAGAGCAGCATGTGTCCAACCTCCTCCCCCCCCCCCCTCAAAAGAATCCCTATGTGGCAGCAGTGGTAAAACTGGGATGCCAGGTGATATAGGATAAGTTAAACTCTGTGGGCAGGGGTTTTACCTAAATAGCCGCTAGATTACACCAACGTTAAGAATACAAGATTGTATTCCTAGCATAAGTTCCTTTAACTTGCAGAGAATGGACAGTTGGTCTGAAGACCACAGTGGTGTCAGATATTGGCATCCAGTAGCCCCCATGTAAGAAGTCAAACCTTTCTGAAATGCTCTGTAGTCATTATGGTGCTTGGAGTGTTCTTTTAAACTACTTTGGCTTTACCTTAGGGTGTATGGATAAATGTTAGTGAAATGCTGCACAGACCCCAGGCACCATGACCATTTGAAATCTCTGGAGTGGTCATGGTGCTTCTAGTAACTCTTTAATAAAATATATTCATCATAACATTCGTTTAGAAAATATGTACATTTTCATGTTTTGAAGCATACATATGCACTCTTTCACTCCCATTTACCGTCATTCTGTGTTTTGCCACATATTTCAGTGAATTGGTCCAAAAGTGATCATCCGATGTTCCTATTGCCGCGATACAGCAAAAGGCATTGTCCTAAATATGTTATACAACAACAGGAAGGTTATTTTATCATTGTATCATATCCCTTTCCTTAGTTTACTCTGAAATAGCTGTAACCTCCTGTTTAGATTGTATCCAGTAGCAATGTCATGACAAAAACTTTGCCTGTATTTCCAAAGGGGAGAAGGAATAGAGGACTAGGCAATTTGTGGTGAAGATTACGCAAGAGAAAAAGTATGTAAACCCTTTAGAAATGACTGTTCATGAATTAATCTGTCCCAAATCTGTTTTGATGTTCATCTAAGTTACAGTAATCAACCAATACAACCCATTCTAACTAATAAGACAAAGTATTACATTCAGTATGTACAGAACAATACATCATTCAAATATCCACAGTATTGGTTGGAAAAAGTGTGAAAACCCTAGGCTAATGACTTCAACAAAAGTTGGAAATTGGCAAACTTGGTATGAAACGTGATTGGAGGTGTGGGTTAGAGTTACTTTGGCTTCTAAAAAGCATTGGAACATTTTGAGTTTGCTATGCACAAAAAGCATCTATTGATGTGAATAATTAATTGAAAAAAAAAAGAGCTCTCAGAAGACATACAATCAAGAACTATGTGTTGCATAAAGCTGGAAAGGGTTGAAAGAGGTTCTCAAAGAGCATAGATATTAATCTGTCCACTGTTACACAAATTGTCTATAAAAGGAGGTGATTTATCACTGTGGCTACTCTCCCTACATGTGGCTCTGTTTACAAAGGTGCCCAATTACACCCGTAGTGTTAGTCACCTAGAGAGACACTAGAGGTGCTTCCTACTCCAGTGCTGCACAGTGTGCAGCACCTACATTCAGCATCTCCACGCTCTGCAAGAAGGCGCTGAACGTTCACCATAGAGATGCATTGATTCAATAGATCTATGATGTGATACGGATTGCTCCGGTACAGTGTTTTCCCCGTGCCATAGCCTCCCAATGCATTCCTATGGAAGTAAAATATTATATTATATATACATACACACACTCAGAATTCTGTTTTACATATCAGGACATGATTTTGTGTTCCTTAGCAGGTCTTAAAATTAGGTAAATACCACCAGATTAACACATATTACACTGTATCATGATCTATTTTTACAAAAATAAAACCAAAATGGAGAAACCATGTGTGGAAAAAAAACTAAGTATGCTTTATGATTAGCTCGTAGAACCACCTTTAGCAGCAATAACTTTAAGTAATTGTTTTCTCTATGACTCAGTTTCTCACACTGTTGTGCAAGAAATTTGGCCCATTCCTTTTTACAACATTGCTTCAGTTCATTGAATTTTGCTGGCAAAAAGTTCCCACCACAGCATTTCATACCAGTTGAGCTCTGGACTTTGACTCAGACAGTTGACCTCACATTAAACTCTAGAATTAGGGATGCACCGAAATGACAATTCTGGGCCGAAACCAAAAGTTCAGGATGCCCTTTTACCCCCAAAAGATTTAAAAAAGTTTTTTCCTATAATTTAGACTTTTTAATGCATTTAATTAATCTAATATGAAAAACTTCCCTTACCTTATCCTTTCTCTTTTAGTGGTCCCCCCCGCTTAATGTTCCTCTCCCCTCCCTCTTTTTAGTGTTCTTTCCACCTCCTCCCCTGTACCCATAGTGCTCTTTACCCCCCTCCCCAGTCCCATAGTGTTCTCTAAATGAGCCTGAATTTGGTTCTGATATTAAATAGTGTAGAGTAGCATTTCAAATGGCCAGTATAGCACCTAAAGGTTGAGGCATGCACTAGATTGGATGAGTAGGGCAGATGGGTAAAGATACATCACTGCCAGGCTAAGGAAAATGGTGCTGGTTATAATAAAAAAACAAAAATACAAAAGACAACCCTAGATTTTAATAGGATTACTTTTCTGTGTTATGATTTTTTTCCCCCTCTGATGTCAGTTGTGTGGGCATACATTTTACTTGGATACCTATGGTGAGCACTGCATTAAATCTCAAAGAAAACCAACCATTCTTTAACATATACATACAATATACACTCGGGAGGAACGATGATTCATGGCTGATTAGCTTCATATATAGACAGTAATTCCAACAAGTGGGCAGGTGGTAATAATGGAAATGCCTAAATGTAAAAACAAGTCTTTTATCTTCTATTAGCTACCGTATTTAATTGATTATATCCAATCACCCAGAATACTATTGCTCACAAAAAAAAAGTTGGCAACAAGTCAAATATATATATTTTATATACATAATTGCAGCCAAATTATACGGTGTATTGTTACAAGCTAGAACGAATTAAAATCTGGATAATAGGTTGAGTAGATTAAGGGATGGGTCTCTTGCTTTACATTAAAGCTTCAACACACAATGGCAACGCGGTTCCAGACAGTGTGCACATCCACTCATAAAAAAATGAAATTAGAAAAAAAAAAAAAAAAAAAAAAAAAAAAAAAAAAAAAAAAAAAAAAAAAGGTAAAAGAAAAACCTTTGAGCACAGATTAATTCCTGTTAAGGGATCAAAGGAGAATTGGTAGTACGCAACTAATTAGAAACTATATAAAACATGATTTGAAGGGTCAGAAGCATTAAACAGATGCATGTCACTGTACTGTATGAAACAGGGTTAAGTAAGCATTGAAGCAGAACATAACATTTATAGGAGGGATACATGACCATAGACTGCTTTACTACTGCAATAGGCAATCTTATTGAATCAATTAGATTGTCTGGAGTCCCTTGGCACCATCTCACTATCATGTTAAACCATTGTAGATCTGTTTAAAACTGAATTAGTGGCCCCAATCCATCTCTACTGCTTGGGTTGAATTTTGTAGACTAATCCTAGCAGTGATTTACTAAGAACATTAACCGACTGTTCTAGGCTTGTGATTGCCACCTATTGCTGGTATGAGCCAATATGGCTAATACAGAGTAATTCCTAAGCCATATGTTCAATATTGGCTGATCTAGGACCATCATTAAGTGTTAAATCATTTGAAACAGTTTAACACTAAACCCTGGCACATGTCAACTCCTATAGATAGTAAGCTCATTCAAACCATGCACTCGTCACCCTATTGTTCCTGTCACAGTTTGTAATAGTGTCTCATTTGTTGTTAAAGTTCCCCCTTTATAATATTGTAAAGTGCTGCAGAATAAGTTGGCACTAAATAAATGCCAATAATAAGTGGTTATGTTGCCTATAGTGTACTTTTAAGGCGGGAAATGATTTCAAAAGTGTTCTGTGACAATCAAACAATATTTAAGACTGGTACATAAATAGAATTATAAGTCCAATGCAGAAAAACTTGATTGTCTCAAAATAGCCCCAAATGTGCTGGAGACATATCTTTGACACGCATTATGTAAAATCTATATAGCAATGCAATCTGCCCTCAAAAGGAAAAGTCAGGTTTTATAATTTAAAACAAAAGATTACATATATTATAGCACACCAAGTAGAAAGTGTCCACTATCAAAAGAGGATAACTGAGCAAACCAGGAAGTAACATTACATGTTGTCTGCTTGAAAGCCAAGATGCTGTAACCAGCTTGAATTTATTAAAGTGTAAATTTCTATTGAAATCTGCACTTTTTTGCAAAAAAAGGGATACTTGACTAGTAAAGTGGTCAGCCATAAATTTTGTGAATTACAGATTCAGATAGGTGTAACTATAATATAAACAATGTGTTGGCAAAATTATTTTTTTATTTAATTTTTTTAAAGGCCTTGGCAGTAAACACCTACGCTCAGAATGGATTTACTGTTGGGGGGGAGGGGTGGAGATGGATATGCATTTAAAAAAAAAAATTTTTTAAACTATATACAGTTCCTTTAAGACCCTTTATATTGCCAAAGACAGACATACAAGAAAAGAGCAGCATCAAAGATTTGTAATAGTTTACTGTGTAACATCTGAACCATGGCAAGTCTGTATAATACATAGGATTAAACTGTATACAATCCCAGACAGTCACAACAAGTAATACACTAAATAAGGCCTTTATATGTAACCACAGTGTATCTTATCCATTCACAAATTAAACTACATGTCTTTAAATTTTAGTTGCATTCATCACAGATATTTTATTAAAGGAAAGGCAGCTTACCAAAAGAAAAAAAATGCTTTAAAAAAGGTACTATAATTATACAAAAAGTTTTAAACATTCCCATTTATTTTTGCCTATAATAACTGATGTGAAAAAAATTGCTAATAAAAAAAGTTCACCATTATAAAGGTCTAGAACAATGGCGTCAGGAACCTATACAGCCAGTGAGATTTTTGACACTTTGTAATCTGTAAATGCCCTACCAAAAAATACAAAAATTAAATAAAAGTATAGTCAAAACAAAACAAAACCCACATTAAAATAAAAATAAAAAAAACTAAACTGCCAGACATTAGAGTGGACTGATCAGACACCATGTGTAATAGAAAATGTTGTTGTCTCCCATCCAAGCACTAAAAGGCAGCAGTTTTTGTAAGGTGTGTGGTTTCAGTGCAAGTTACCTCTGAAACAGACCTGCTACAGTTAATAAACTTACTATTCTGCTAAAAATTGGCAACTTCTGTAAAGTATCTTTCTAAGAGGTGAAGAGACACAGACTTCTTTGTAGAGTACAGACAAGAGGGTTTATCTCTAAGTAAGTTGATCTTATTTTACAATAAACGCAAATTTACATGGTTTCATTCTCCATCACCCTTTTGTGGGTCCCCTGGCCACCTGATCTCAGAGAGTTGTAGACCAAACCATGGTACACACTCCAAAAAGGTGCAGCTCTAAATTCAGCACATTGCCGTTCAGCAACAGAAATGACAATGCATAGGCAATCTCCATTTCTCTTTAAATGTGGCACTTTGTGTGCCAGCAATGTGCCATTATAGCACCCAACCCATATTATAGGTTTTAATTACCAGTTTTATGAATTTTTTCTTTTTCCAAGTCTATTCAATTGTTATATTATAAAAAAAACCTAACAAAAAAAACAAAAAACGGGTAAACCAGATGTTTAGCAACTAGCAAGGCTCTGTGACTAACAGCTACCAGGAGTGGTCCACATGATTGCAAGCTGTGTAGGTGAACAAACTAAAAAAAAAAAAAAAAAAGTCAAGTCTCAATTCAGAAACAAAATATTTTCATATAAGTCAAAAGTGCAGTCCTAAATGCATCCTCTTGTCTACTCAAGTAAATCTCAGGTATGTACAACGTCTAATGAATGCCTTGAAAGCAGGGGTGGCTCTCTTGCTGCTGGAGAACAGATTCCTCCCTTGATGCTTTGCCAGCCATAACTACATGTTGGCCAACCCAGCTTTGTGTTTGTAGCGTGATTTAAAAGCAAGGTTGTGCGCATCTTAGCCAGTACAGTCCATTAAGACATTTGTACAGGATTCATAGGAAGAAAATCGCAGCATTCATTTCAAAAGGGAACATGCCAGCAATAAACGGTTTATCTTTGAAAAAAGTAATTAATTTTCTTCCATAGCAATCAGCAACAGTTTGTGCCGTTTAAATTTCAGTTCTAAAAAGTGAACCTTACAAAAGAAAAAAGAAGAAGGAGTTAGCCCCCCGCCCCTCAAAAAAAATAAAATAAAAAAAAAATAAAAAAAAGTAAACAAGTCATCTTCAACAATACAATCTAATTTTCAATTCCTTTCAAAGTTGTATGCGGTTATGCTGATAGAATGAACTGCTGCATTCAAAACACAGTGAAGAAGAAACATTTTTAAATTCACACGGATTAAGTAATCTATATATATATATATGCCCGACTGCACCTTAGTGTAATTCCAGATAGCAATACTGGTATTAAAACAAAATACTAAACAAAAAAAACCTTCATTACTGATGTTAACAAATCATTACCTGTACATCTGTTAAGGCAACCAACATGATTTGCAAACAGACCTTCAGGTTTATGAACATTTCTATGGCTCACAGTCCAGCAAAAGAAGAAAATTAAACATGGTCGGCTAACTTCTTTTGTGCGGCCAGAGAGTTACTGCAAACCTTCAATGCCCTAAAAGGCATTTATGAAAAAAAAAAAAAAAAAAAAAAATTTTTTTCTAACAAAATGTAGTTACAAATTTACAAGCTCTTGCGTCACAAATTGTTTTAACCGCTCAAGGTACTGTCCATAGAGTTCCACGTCGTTGTGACCGGCTCCTTCAACCCATAGTGGCTCCACCGGCCTCTGGCAACGTTCAAACAGCGCCAGGCCATGTGAAAAGTCAATCACCTCATCTTCTGTGCCATGGATAATCAAGACTGGGGATGTTATCTTGGAGATTTTGTCAATGCTGTAAAATAAAGCAGACAATTAAACTTAAAAACTACATGTGAATTCACGTTTTTGCAAAAATACAACACAAACCACTTAGTATTTGTAAAACAAGTAACAATACGACAGTTCCCTAGACTGAAGAGAGACACAGGTCAATCAAGTTCAGCCTTACATCTGTTTTTTGCTGTTGATCCAAAAGAATGCCAAAAAAAATTTGAAAAACTTCAAATTTTGCAACAAACTAGGAAAAAAATCCTTACTGACCCCAGAGTGGCAGTCAAATTCATCCTTTGATCAAGAAACTATTATCCTACAGTTGAAAAATTATATTCTTGAATATTATGTTTTTGAAAGTATGCAGACTCTGATAAAACCACTTCTTCGGGCAGCGAATACCACATCCTTATTCTTATGGAAATATATGCTTATTTACCAAAGTCAAAACACCTATCAAAAGCAATCAGAATGCTATAAAATAATATTCAATAAAAAAGGGCAGTATATGCAACATAAGAAGTTCAATGTAATGGTTATGCTGTCAATGTATCACACTTTTACGTCGATCTACTAGTTTGGCAAAAATAATTACTCTTCATGGTATCTGATGACTGCCCTCTAAGCAGCTTTGATAATACAGATTTAACACTTCACACTATAAATATCACTTCTGTCCAGCCTAGATGATATGAATAGTTTAAGAGTATTTGGACAACTTGGTTGTAGTGGTTGTTTTAATTAAAGCCCCAAACCAAACAGAAAATAACAAAAACAAACAAACACCACCCTCCCCCCAGAATACAGATTTATATTTTATAAGGCTACTTAAAACAACCTCTTCACAAACATATATGGGGATTCAGTTCCACAATATTGCCATATTGTGCTAAGCCCACCACTATGCCACAGTACCCCAATATTGGTGGGTCCTACACTAATTAAAACCTGGAAGATAAATTAAAAGAACACTAAAGGGTCAGGAACAGAAACATGTATTCCTGACCCTATAGTGTAAAAAAACCCACCATCTAACCCCCTTCCCTTCCTATCCCCTAAATATAGTAACATCTTACCTTTGTTACAGTCTGCAACTGCCTCTGCCCCTGACCTACCTCCTAGGCTGACATCAGAATTGATCTTCTCAGCCAACCACATTGCTTTCCCATAGGAAAGCATTGAATTAGCAGTGATTATCAAAAAGGCAGAGCCAGCACAAGCCAAACACAGCCCTGGCCAATCAGCATCTCCTCGGAGATACATTGTTTCAATGCATCTCTATGAGGAAAGGTTAGTGTCTCCATGCAGAGGGTGGAGACACTGAATGTCAGTGCTGCACATTGTACATTAAATATACACACTATTATCTTTATTTTAAAAAAACTAGTGTGAAAAATAAAATGCATACATCTATCTGCTCTAGATCAAATAATTGATAATAATGGTTTAGTTTTGACACTGGATTTTTTTTTTTTGTGTTTCTCACATAATATTAGAGGCATACCAGACCATCTCTGCTGAGGAACTACCACACTTTCTAAGGCACCTTATAGAATCTTACTCCCAAGTCACCCTAGGAAAGTTTACTTTTGATGGAGCATATAGTATGCCTTCATAATCCAGGGCACCACAAAATAAAGTCCATATTAACAAATAAAAGGTCTGACCATCTGAGACTGGTTCTGTTCCTTAGGGGTTTCCATCACAGCTGAGCCTATCTGTAGATTTGAAAATTGCTATATTATATACAATTTTCACTTGTTGCCATTATTAGCACAAGCACCTATTCTGTTGCATCTTGGCTCCTGGCTATTATCATTTTGGTACTCTTGAGATGCATAAAAAAAAAAATAATAAAAAAAATGGATAGAACTTATGGCATTTGTATCTCCATATGAATATCATGTAATGCTTATTTTATGTGGTTGGCGGGGGGGGGGGGAGGGGGAGTTATGTTGGATAATACCCAATAAGACATTTCATAATAACTAGGCGTTAAGACTCTATTTAAATCACAATTTGTAAACGTAAACTATAGTTAACAAAACCACGTTATCTTAATGAAGCAGTTTGTGTATGGATTACTGCTCAATTATCTGCCATTTAGGAGTAAAATGGACACTACAGTCACCAAAGCAACTACAGCTTAATGTAGTTATTCTGGTGAGTATAACCATTATGTGCAGGCCACTGGAAATGCTTCCTGGCTCAGTGCTGCACAGTAAGCAGCTCTGCCATTTAGCATCCCCACGCATTGCATGGGGATGCTGAATTTCCCTCATAGAAATGCATTGATTCAATGCATCTCTATGAGGAGGTGCTGATGGACCAAAATGGTATTTGGCCTTGCCCCTTGCCAATCCAATGCTTTCCCTGGGGGAAAGCATTGGATTGGGTAAAAATCCGCAATTCTAATGAGGTCACCAAGGGGACAGGGCCCGTGCCGGCAGACCCGCACGGCACTGGAAATAAGGTGAGTTTTTAATGCTTTTCTAAGCAGGGTAAGGGGTAAGCCACCTTAATGGTGGGTTTAGCACTATAGGATCAGGAATACAGGTCTGTGTTCCTGACCCTATAGAGTGCCTTTAAATCACTTGTTTCAGTTTATGCAGCCCTAACCACACCACCCCTGGCTACTGACAGTCTGCATGAAAACAAAATGGTTTCACTTTCAAATCAGATGTAATTACTTTAAACGTTTGTATCTAATGCTCTGTAAATCGAAATTTAATTTAAAAATACTCATCTCCTGATCTGTTAATAGTTAGCTAGACCTTGCAGGAGCCTCCTGTATGTAATTAAACAGAATTTTCAATAAAGCAAGTATAAACATTAGATGCCTCTTTACAAGAAGTGCTTAGGAAAGTTGTGTAAGTCACATGCTAGACTATGCGAGTTAACTCCTAAATAGCAGAGAATTGAGTAGTGAGACTGCAGGGGCATCGATACACAAAACGGCTTTATAAAGCTATGTTTTAGTGACTACAGTGTCCCTTTAAATACTGGTACTTGCTGATTGATATTTAAATATTTGTAACAAGGTGAATATTTAGTATTTAGATGGATAATTTTCATATTTTAATAGTTCTAGCAGAACTGATTTGTTACCTACCATTAGAAATATTTAGATTGATAAAATCATTGGCAAGGTATACTACCTCCAGTTTAATAGGTTAATCACCCATATTTGGAGAACAGCTTAGCGTTTACAGAATAACAGCAGGATTGCGGTATTTTTCTAAACTTTGTATGTTTATTTTAAAACATGCATGTTATTTCTGAAGCCAAAATTCAATTAACTTGGAATAATTTAATTAAATTACCAAAAATATATTTATTGCATGACCATGTAGTCTCATGCTACATAACTAATCCCTATTTGAAGTTGAAAAACCCTTGAAATATACTGTATCCCAAGTACAAAACCATTAAAAAAAAAAAAAAAAAAAGATAAATAAAATTATTTTTAACCACCCAGATTTCTATGCTGGTTCCAATACCGGCATTTAATTGTAGGATAAATCAGATTTGATGGACATTGCATTCACCAAGTTACAAGAAGACATCTGATATTAAATGGTATCTCTATACAGCATAATTCAGCATTTTACTGTGCATGCACACTAGCCTCCCAATGCGGTTCTATAGAAAAGCATTAGATTGGCTGAGATCATTGATCTCTATGATATCAGCCAGTAAGTGGTAGCGCGGTGGGGTGAAGACACCATAACTAGTTAGGTACAAGCTATACCGTTTGGAATAATGCTTGCTTTTCGAACACTATAGTGTTCCTTTAAACTGTTAGCAAAGCATTATTTTAAAGTGTTTGAAACAAATCCAGAGATTATTAACCCAAGCATGGAATATGCACATGTTCAGGTGCTTGAAGTGTACTTTAAATATACATTCAATATAACAAAACCTTTTAATGTAACAATATAACTGCATCAAATATAACTTACTTGGGAAATGCATCAAAACAGTAGGTTTTTTTGGTGTCAGGGAAAGCCACTCTCATTCCTGAGGTTAGAGGAGAGTGAAGAATAACAGCAGCACTTTCATATCGAGCAGCAAGATCAACAGATGGGACGGTCCCTATGCTCTGGCCATATATGATAACATGCTCAGGACGTACTCCATACCTGGAGAGAGGGGGAAACCATGAGAAAAATACAGAAACCAACAACAGCTTTAATAAAAGGGAAGCAGACAGACCAATAATAGGTGATACAGAAAAATGAATGTACATACAAAAGTTCGGCAATGCATAGAACAAACATGTTACTCTTCCACCACAGCTGTATAGCCAATAGAGCAATCTTATCAATTCTAGAAGATGTCCGATCCACAGCTCCTCTCAATGGAAAAGGAATCAAACAAAATAATACAGAAAAATCATGCATGTTATTCAATTAACTAAGAAGTTTGGCATATCGACTAGGGAATTGCTAATTTTAGGCCAAAATAGTCAAGCTAGAAAACTAGCAGATCTGGGGGATATTTTCCAATATTTTGCTATTTTCGCCTAATATTTGCAATTACCTTGTACATTCTTCTCAATTTTTCAGTTTACCAACAGCATTATTCAATAAAGTGAGAACTGCTGGAAATTCAAAAGAGAATTTGAAATGAAATTAAAGGCCAAAATAGACAAACTACAAATGGACTTAGAGAATTTGTTTCAGCTACTTTGGCCTATTGTTTGAAATACACTTTGAATTTGCAGCAATTTTAATTTTAGTCAATAACCCTGTAAATAATCCCAATATGCATATGTCAATCCCAGTTTACAAAAGCCCCATTTTTATAACATATCTCGTGGGTTTGAGTGCAACAAGTTTACCATTTGTTTTTCTTAGACTGCAATAAAAAAAGTTGGAGAAACAGATGTATCCTACGTAACAGAATGCAGACAAGGAACATAGATCCTAAACAAACTGCTTGCAAGGATTCTAGATCTTCATGCAACATAAAATAATTCACTTTTTTTTATTTAAAAGCAACAGAACATTCTTTCAAGATAGATCATATGTAAAAAGAATTGTATCCTGCACTATTATATATGCGACAGTAAGAGGTCTAAAACCTTTCAATTTTTATACAAACTACACAATCTGTTTAAAAGGACCACTTCATTGAAATGAAGCGTAATGTGTGCAGTGGTCCTTTTAACTTTGTAAAGTAAAACATAGCTGTTCAGTAGATAGAGCAATGCTTACACAAGAGCTTGACAAATCCCAGGCGCCAGGTCACCATGGCGACTAAGAAATTTGTCCTGGATCCTGGGATTGGTCAGCCTGTTCTCCGGTCTCTGTGTGCCGGAAGGAAGTGTGGTGCTGCCCAGTCCCACTAAGCCACCTTTTTGTGCCCAAAAGGTAGGAAACAGGAATGTGGCTAAAAATATATATATTTTTTTACGTATGTATGTATGTATGTATGTATGTATGTATGTATGTATGTATGTATGTATAAATGTGTGTGTGTGTATCAAATAATTAAATAATTCTTTGAGAGTGTGCGTGTCTTTCTTTTAGTCAGTCCAGGTGTCTGTCAGCGAAACTGTAGGTTTAGGTCACCTGCCCCCACGCCGACAGCAAGGTAATGTGTTTTTACTCAATTTTAATGGAGGCACACTGTGTCCCTGTACCCAACAAGGTCCACCTGGGCGTCACCTTTGTTGGGAAACTTGCATAAAAGGTCAGTGTGCCTCCATTAAAAGAGTTAAAAACACATTCCCATGCTATCGGCGGGGGCAGGTGACCTAAACATACACTTTCACTGACAGACACGTGGACTGACTGAAAGATGCACAAACACAGTGTACAAGCCAATAAAAACAAGGTGACAATGAATGACACTCCCACATACAGTACACAATCCCTCCCCTCTGCCTGTGATATAATTAAGGCAGATAATGCATTAACTTAATTATCCTCAGGCAGAAAAAACACCTGTTTATAAAGTACCATAAGTACCCCAAAACGCAACAAATCCCCATAAATGTTACATCCCCGGATAGCCCTGATCTGGGTGAACAACATATCCAAAAATCGCGGCTAAATGCTGCTGGAGGACGGACCAGGAACCACAAGGTTTTCATAGTTCCAGGGCATTCACGGCTAAGTCCCCCTGAAGGCTATTCGTGGTTTTGGCCCATTCGAACAAGATGGCCGCCACCATGTGTTCGAATGTCGAATGGCGGCCTGTTCGGGAGTTCGAAGAACCATTGGCTAAAGTCCCATTAGCCAAAAATAGGGTCTCTCAACCACAATAAATTAAAGGTGCCATAGTCATAGGGTAAAAGGCTGGCAAGTAGTCCCCTCCAAACCCCAGTGGTTAAGTGGCTTTTGTCACAATCTATGTGGAATGTTCTGCACCTCCATGCAGAGCGTGGAGATGCTGAATGCACTGAGATAGGAGACACTTTAGTGGTCGTTTGAGTGACTGCCACTAGAGGTATTACTAGGTAGCAGTGTAAACACTGTAGCTATGCAGATGGTAGATTGACTGGTGTTGGTGGGGAGGTACTTTATTTCTAATTTGAAATACCACAATAAATAAATCTATACATTTTCTAGCACAACATAGCAATGAAATTGTATACTCTTTAAAAATGCCCATAAGATGTGTGTACCGTGACAGGTACACTTTAAATGTGCTACTCATTAAGCAACAGCAGGTGCTCTGTAAAAGTGCTGGATGTAAATAAACAGTACATTTCATTTTTCACATCATTTGTATTCTTCCGTGTATTATAGAATATTTTAGAAGTATTACATTTAGTGTTGCCATTATATTTAGGAATAAAAATTTTGGAATATATTTATGTAAGCCTTGACTGAACAACCCAGCTGGTTCCCTTTTCCAGTATTCTGCCCATTTTCATCCCTTTTCCACTGCTATTCTTAAACACACTTTCCCACTTCTCTCCCTATATCACATGCTCCTACTTCATACTGCCACAAAAGGTAGCTGCTTCATTAGCATCAAGTGGGACAGTGGCTGTTTTGGCATTGTTTGACAGATTCTTCTATTGGGTGTGTCTGCCTGTATCCCATCACAGTGCTGGCAAGGTGTGAGGTCACAGTACTGGCAAGGTGTTAAGAGAGCCTTAAAGACATATCTGCTACATGAGCCTACAGAGCACACCCACCCCTGTTATAGGTAAATTACTCCATTTAAGATGAAGGGTTTCATTTGTCAAGCAAGTTAACGTTTTATATGGTGACTAAATACACTGCTTAAAAAAATAAAGGGAACACAAAAATAACATCCTAGATCTGAATGAATTAAATATTCTTCTAAAATACTTTGTCCTTTACCTAGTTGAATGCGCTGACAACAAAAATCACACAAAAATTTAAAAATGTAAATCAAAATTTTTCAAACCATGGAGGTCTGGATTTGGAGTCACACTCAAAATTAAAGTGTAAAAACACACTACAGGCTGATCCAACTTTGATGTAATGTCCTTAAAACAAGTCAAAATGAGGCTCAGTAGTGTGTGTGGCCTCCACGTGCCTGTATGACCTCCCTACGTCTGTGCATGCTCCTAATGAGGTGGCGGACGGTCTCCTGAGGGATCTCCTCTCAGACCTGGACTAAAGCATCTGCCAACGTGACGTTGGTGGATGGAGAGAGACATGATGTCCCAGATGTGCTAAATTGGATTCAGGTCTGGGGAACGGGCGGGCCAGTCCATAGCATCAATGCCTTCGTCTTGCGGGAACTGCTGACACACTCCAGCCACATGAGGTCTAGCATTGTCTTGCATTAGGAGGAACCCAGGGCCAACCGCACCTGTATATGGTCTCACAAGGTGTCTGAGGATCTCAGCTCCGTACTAAATGGCAGTCAGGCTTCCTCTGGCGAGCACATGGAGGGCTGTGCGGCCCCCCAAAGAAATGCCACCCCACACCATTACTGACCCACTACCAAACCGGTCATGCTGGAGGATGATGCAGGCAGCAGAACGTTCTCCATGGCATCTCCAGACTGTCACGTCTGTCATGTGTGCTCAGTGAACCTGCTTTCATCTGTGAAGAGCACAGGGCGCCAGTGGTGAATTTGCCAATCTTTGTGGTCTCTGGCAAATGCCAAACGGTGTTGGGCTGTAATCACCTGTGGACGTCGGGATTCATGGAGTCTGTTTCTGACCGTTTGAGCAAACACATGCACATTTGTGGCTGGAGGTAATTTTGCAGGGCTCTGGCAGTGCTCCTCCGGTTCCTCCTTGCACAAAGGCGGAGGTAGCGGTCCTGCTGCTGGGTTTTTGCCCTCCTACGGCCTCCTCCACGTCTCCTGATGTACTGGCCGGTCTCCTTGTAGCGCCTCCATGCTCTGGACACTACGCTGTCACAGCAAACCTTCTTGCCACAGCTCACATTGCTGTGCCATCCTGGATGAGCTGCACTACCTGAGCTACTTGTGTGGGTTGTAGACTCAGTCTCATGCTACCACTAGAGTGAAAGCACCGCCAGCATTCAAAAGTTGCCTGTAATTTCCACCTGTCTTCTATCCTAGATGCACAACAGCATGTGAAAATGATTGTCACTCAGTGTTGCTTCTTAAGTGGACAGTTTGATTTCACAGAAGTGATTGACTTGGAGTTACATTGTGTTGTTTAAGTGTTCCCTTTATTTTTTTGTGCAGTGTATGATACTCAGGTGTTAAAATACCACCAAGCTTTATGTTGAAGGACTGAATAAAGAATACCTTCACCTTAATCAAAATAATCAATTACTTGTATTGTTAGCCTATAGGTGGAGACTCTTGCCATTGCTCTATTTGATGAAAAAGACTTTCTGCATACTAAATCTTGTTCTAGCTTATTAGGGCTGATGGCCAGAAACAAGTTATGTGTGCCAGGTCTCATTTCTGTGTTGCCATAGTGTTCTGGCACAGTCAAGCTTTGCCTTGAAAAATTATTGACAACTGTACTACAACAGATTGAAGATTTGTCTTTCAACCACTGTAGCATTTTTTTTTCCAACAAACATGTTAATGCACAGCAGACCATATTAAAATAGTCACAAAAATGTAGCATTGGATTTGTGTGGCATTAATCTTAAAAATGTCCAAAATTGACCTGATTTGGCAGAAGCTGTTCCTACCGCATAGTTTGAGCTTTGTACTGACTGTCAAATGATTCCATTTAAACTAGCTTTCCTTTCCAGCATCGTGACTTGCAGACCCTTCTCACGAACGCACAAAAACTTGGCTGAAACATTGCCAGAAACCAATATCTTCATTAATAAAGGAAGTATTAGCATTTCTAGGTCACACACTGATTTAAGAGCAATGCTAGATTTCTGAAAGTGCCAGTGGTCATGTTTTTCAATATATATATATATATATATATATATATATATATATATATATATATATATATATATATATATATATTTGTAATACAATGCTAAACAAAAATCTGCACACCAGTCAAGCCATAAGACTTGCTTTTCCCACAGAAATCCCAAATCAGCAGTGATGTTACAACCGCAAAGGATTCTAGGTGGGCATATGCAAATTAGTTTAACAAAGAATCACATTTTTGCCTCATTCCATTTTAAACATGGATTCCTTTTAATTTGTGTTTGCAGTATACAACTGCTTGGAACACAATTTAGGATAAGATGCAAAACCAGTGAACCACTCATTGACAGCTGTTTCGTTGTTAATGCAACTCTTCAGCATGAGGTTGGTTACTGGTTTGCTTATGGAGGCTTGGTAGTGCTTGGGAAGCAAGATCCAAATAGGTTATTTCACAATTTTTCCCCACCATAATCTATTTGGATCTTGCTTCCCAAGCACTACCAAGCCTCCATATATATATATATACACACACACACACACACA